AGTTCATGCTTTACATTTTCTAGACCACCAATATCTTCCCAAGTTACGTTTGGCACTTCAACAGTGGTCTCGCGTAAAGCCGATGGGTTACTCTTGCCCAGCGCCCAGCGGAAATCATCCATGGTGACGGCAAGCGAGTCGAGGACTTCTGCGTCGATTGCGTCCTCTTCCAAGTCGATCAAATCCATCTTGTTGCGAATTTGTTGTAAGGCGGCTTCGGAGCAGAGAGATGCCAGATCGGCACCGACGTGGCCGTGAGCTTCATTAGCAATCTGCTCCAGGTCGACGTCGGGAGCTAATTTCATATTCTTCGTGTGAATACGCAAGATTTCAAGACGACCAATACTGTCAGGAATCCCTATCTCGATTTCACGATCAAATCTGCCAAAACGGCGCAAAGCTGGATCAACACTGTTAGGACGGTTTGTAGCAGCCATAACTATGACGTGACTTCTCTGTTTAAGACCGTCCATAAGTGTCAGTAGCTGAGACACGATTCGCCTCTCAACTTCACCATGAGTTTTCTCGCGCTTGGGAGCAATGGCATCTAGCTCGTCAATGAAAATTATTGCGGGAGAATTCTTCTCAGCTTCCTCGAAAGCTTTGCGGAGGTTAGACTCTGATTCGCCAGCAAGTTTTGACATGATTTCCGGGCCATTGATAAGGAAGAAGAAACTTCCACTTTCATTTGCTACCGCACGAGCGATTAGTGTTTTTCCAGTGCCGGGTGGTCCATATAAAAGAATTCCTCGAGGCGGTTTCACTCCAATGGCTTTGAACAGTTGCGGGTGCCTCAGTGGCAGTTCAACCATTTCCTTTATCTGGGCCAACTGCTTTCTGCAACCACCAATATCATCATAGCCAATTTCGCTCAGTTTTTCTTCCTCTTCCTAGGCAATTGTATTAGAAAATAAAAGGAACGTTCTTACTTCACGCTTCACAGGTTCTCCATCTGTGTGTATGACCGTATCCGGTGCGACAATACAATAAGGTGACGGGTCTGTTTCGATAACCTTGAATTCAACGGGGCGATGAGCAGCGCGAACGATGAAGACATCATCTTTTCGAATAGGCCTGTAAGCCTCCAGGAAGTATGGTTTTAGGTAAACTTCAAATAGACCACTAGTGGAGAGTAACAGTTAGGGAAAGTAACATACCCTGTCAAACCGACGACGGTATCATCAATGGGTAACACATGAATACGCTTCCCGTACTTTATGTCTGGGAACCCTTGGACGGAGACAATATCACCGAGTCTGACGCGAAGATTGTTTCGAACACAGCGGTTCATCCGTATACGCTCGTCAGGGCAATTGTCGTCTACAAGGGCAACGCACACAGTGTCCTTTCGTCTTTTTCCCTTGATAATGACAGTATCTCCACGGAATAGTTTTAACTCGTCCATTTTGGCCTAAAAGTACAAGGAACAGTGGAAAGATTACCTGTGAAAGGCCAACGATAGAGTTATCATCATTCGTTCCTTCGTCAACAATCAATCGATTCGGTCTCTTCTTTTTCTCTGGCCCAGAAGGTACTGCGTTATCTCTAGAAGCAAAATGATAAAAAAAATAATAAGACTAACACTTTGGATGTCGCCATCGTTGCAACTGTGATCACCTGATATTACTAAGCGCAGAAATCAAAAGTTGATCACTCCTACGGTTTGCCAGTCACCTGTTAAAACAAATTATTCAATTGAAATAAAACGTGATATTCTTACGATCCTAATCAAACGATAAAGTGGTTACGGTGTGAACTCATGTATGTTTTTCACGGTGTGTGGAGTGCAGTGATTCGCGGGGATAGTCATCAGGGCAGTGGCGTTGCTGAACACGAAATCAGACAGAATATGTTTGTTTGACCATAAGGAAAATGACGTACACTGAAGGCGAAGCGGCAGAGAGCGTACCAAAAATGTTAGGCAATTTGACGAATTTGAATAGACTTCCGAAT